GAGGCGGGGCGCCGCCATGACAGACAGGGCTCGAAAGACCTGGGGCTGCCTGCCCGCGCTGCCACGCCGGACTGAGACCGGAAAAGACGAGGCCGGCGAGGCGGACGGGCTACACCGTGACAACCTGAACCGGAAGAAGCGTGCCCTCCGTAACTACAACGGACCCTCCAGTTACGAGGGGCAGAGCCTGATCGCCGCCGTGGCAGGTATCACGGAAGCGCCGGCGCCAGGGGGCGGGGCCTCGCGGGGCCTGGCTTGATGTGAGGGTGCGGCTTGCGGAAGGCGGGGCGGGGAGCCGACCCAGAACCCAGCGAGCCCCGGAAGAGCGTGAGGTCGTAGGTAACAATTACTCATCGTTACTACTTTAACATAAAAATGAGAAATTGGCGTTTATTCAAGATGATATGCAACTTGCGTTATTTAGTTATGCTGTTGCATGAATGCTATTTGAACAAAATCGCAATAGGACTACTTAGCAGTGCAATTAGCAGCAATTGTAGGGTACGTTAAAAAATGAGTATGTGTGAGAAACAGTAACAATGTTTTATAATATTTCTTTCGTCTTCTGATACAACAATTTACTTAAGCTCCATCTGATTTTATTTAATTAATTAACTTTTATTTTATTGATGAAACAGGACCTCACTCTTGCCTTCCAGCCTGGAGTGAGTGCAGTGGCGTGATCGTAGTTCACCGCAGCCTCGAACTCCTGGGCTCAAGCAGTCCTCCCGCCTCAGCCTCCCAAGGAACTGGTATTACAGGGGTGTGCCACTAAGTCCGGCTCATTTTTAAAACCTTTTTGTAGAGATGAGGGCTTGCCATGTTTTCTAGGTTCGTCTTGAACTCCTAGCCTCAAGCAGTTCTCCTACCTCAGCTTCCCAAAGTGCTGAGATTACAGACGTGAGCCTCTGCGCCCAACCTTAAGATCTTTAACTTCTTTTTAAATTTTTTGTTGGATATTTAAATTTTGTAGGCTATCTTGGGTATTCTTAAGTACATAAATGTAAGACTTTGTAAAAGAGGAACATAAAATGCAATGGACTTACTAATCAGATAATTATATTTAATAAAATAATATTTAGTAATAGTAACAATGATATGTTTCTTTCTGTCCCATTATACAGTAGGACATCTTTATTCTTTCAGGTTTTTTTTTCCAGTAATACTTTGCATCCTGAATGCATCCAAACATAACATTGTTTTGATTTGATTCCCTGCTTTTTTTTTTTGTTTTGGAATCTCACCCTGTCACCCAGGCTGGAGTGCAGTGACATGATCACAGCTCACTGCAGCCTCAAACTCCTAGACTCAGGCAATCCTCCTGCCTCAGTCTCTTGAGTAGCTGCTACTACTGGCCCATGCCATCATGCCTGGCTAATATTTTAGCCTATGATGCCTAAGCTAGTCTCGAACTTCTGGGATTAAGCAATCCTCTGACCTCGGCCTCCCAAAGTGCTGGGATTACAGGTGTGAGCCACTGTGCCTATCCTGCTTCTCTGCTTTTATTAAGCTCACGTTACTCTGATTGTTGGTGTCAGTCCAGTGTGATGACATCAGGCTAAATATCCTCTCAACCAAAGCCTTCAAGTGTGGATTTCTATTTTTTTTGAGTTGGAGTCTCACCCTCTTACCCAGGCTGGGGTGCAGTGGTATGCTTATGACCATCCCAGTGTCAACTTGCTGGGCTCAGGCTATCCTTCTTCCTCTGCCTTCCAAGTAGCCAGAACTACAAGCGTGTTACCACGTGCTTGATTTATTGTAGAGATGAGGTCTCGCCAAGTTGCCCAGGCTGTTCTCGAACCCATGGGCTCAGGCAATCCCTTCACCTCGGCCTCCCAAAGTGCTGGGATTACAGGCTTGAACCACTGCACTGGCCCTACATTGTGTTTTTTCTTCTATGAATTGGTTTCCTCCTCTCCAAAGAGTTCTGTCTGCGCTATAGCAACAGGTTTGTTTATACGCCAGATATTTGTCAATTGAGTCTGTGCAGCTGTACATTCATCATATACTACTATCTGTTTCCAAAATGTCCATCATTTTGAACACTCTGAAGCACACTGGATCTCAGTATACATGAAATCTCCTTTCCTCGGGGAGAATGGTTTTAAGGCATAGAAGTACTGTGAAGCTGTGAAATCGAAGTTGGCTTCTAAACAGTCTCCATATTTAGGGAAGAAACTAAGATAGTCCTGCTTAACTTGACTGACCTTTCTGGTGACATTTTGAGTGGTGATGCAGTCTTATTTTTTAAAATATGAGTCATTTTTTCACAGTATGAGTTTCTCTTACAACCTACACATAGTGACAAACAATTCGGAGGCAGTTTATCCGAGCTTCTTATGGTCTTTTCAAAGATCATCGAACAGTTTGGGAGAAACAGCACATAGATTTCTGTCTTATGATGATTGCTTTCCCCATTCTAATCTTTAATGTATTTCCAAATTAGAGAAGGACATTTTTCTTTCTCGTTCTTTGAAATGCTGATTTTATGGCAGGCCAACTTTTTTGAAATGACAGTTTTGTTGAGATGTAATCCACATACCATTCAATCAGTTCACCCATGTACAGTGTATAAGTCAATAATGTTTTGTTTATTTTGTTTTGTTTTGAGTCAGAGTCTTACTCTTGCCCAGGCCGGAGAGCAGTAGCACGCTCACGGCCACCACAGGCTTGACCCGTTGGGCTTAGGCGATCCTTTCGTCTCAGCCTTCCAAGTAGCTGGAACTACAGGCGTGTACCACTACACCCAACTAATTTTTTTTTTTTTTTGATTTATTGTAAAGATGAGTTCTCGCCAAGCTGCCTAGGTTAGTCTCAAACCCCTGGGCTCAGGCAATCCTCTTGCCTCCACCTTCCAAAGTGCTGGGATTATGGGCGTGAGCCACTGTGTCTGGCAGTAGTTTTTAGTATATTCATAGATATGTGCAGCCATCACTACAGTCAACTTTAGAGCATTTTCATCACCTCAGAAAGAAACTCTGTCCCCATCAGCAATACTCCCCATTTTCTCTCCCTAGCCCCTGACAACACTAATCTAGTTTTTTTTTTGTTTTTTAGTAAGAGTCTCACTCCATCACCCAGGTATGATCATGGCTCACTGTATCCTCGACCTCCTGGTCTCTGGTGATCCTTTTGACTCAACCTCCTGAGTAACTGGGTTACAGGTTGTGCTACCATGTCCAGCTAATTTTTTTGGTTTTTGTTTTGGTAGAGACAAGATCTTGCTTTGTTGCCCAGGCTGGCCTGAACTCCTGATTGCAAGCAATCCTCACACCTCTGCCTCCCAAAGTGCTGGGATTATAGGCCTGAGCCACCATGCCCAGCCCATTTGCTGTTTTTATGTATTTACCTGTCCAGGACATTTTATAATACATGGAATTATACAATATGAATCTTTATGTCTGACTTTTCTCGCTCAGCATAATGTTTTGAGGCTCATCTATGTTATAGCGTGTATCAGTGCTTTATTTCTAGCTGAATAATATTCTGTTGTATGAATATGTCACATTTTGTTTATCCATTCATTGGATGATGAACATTTGGGCTGTTTCTATCTTTTGGCTGTTGTGAATAATAATTGTTCTGAGCTCCAGCCATGGACAGATCTGGGATACCCTCCCTGGGCCTCATGGTTGGAGGCTTTCTAGGATGGTGACCTAGAAAAACTTCTGTATGGTGTGGGGCCATGGGAGAATCCAGAATCCTTCTTGGTTACTTTTTTTTTTTTTTTCAGTTGGATTCTCACTCAGTCATCTAAGCTGGAGTGCAGTGGCATGATCACTGTTCACCACAGCTTCAACCTCCTAAGCTCAGGTGATCCTCCCACCTCAGCCTCCAGAGTAGCTGGGACTGTAGGCGCCAATATGCCCGACTAAATTTTTAAAGTTTTATTTTTGCAGAGATGAGGTCTTGCTGTGTTGCCTAGGCTAGTCTCAAACTCAAGCAATTGTCCTACATCAGCCTCCCAAAGTACTGGGATTATAGGCATCAGCCACTGTGCCTGGCCCATGGTTTACCCTCTTTGGCAGGGCCGATCCTCGCCTCTGAAGGAGGACTAAGAAACGCTTTCACAAATGCTCACCGTGATCAAACCCCCAGGAGGGGCCATAACTAGACCTGAGATTTCCTTCTCAGGCTTTCTCATACAGCCTAGGCTGATCCTGGCCTCTAGTGGGGACTTAAGGAAAATTGGGGGAAGGTTATCTGGAGATTGGGCCCCGTCTGGGCTGCCACCAGGCTTGGAACTTCCTCCCTGGTGGTGCCAGATTAGCCTAGACAGATGGCCACTACTGGAGGGAAAGTTAGAGGTATTTTTGGGTGGCACCTTTGACTACCAGGGTCCATGTGGGACCACAGCCATGCTCAGGTGACCTCCCCATGACTTGGTGAGTGTGACTGTGAGTTTGTTTCACAGTTAAAATGAGATGAATCTTCCTTTGTCCTGATTCTATATGTTCATTTGTATGATTTTGTATGTGTTCTGTATGTTCTGTATGTTTGTTTTGCATGATCCTATATGTCATTTACATGGCACAGATAACACATAGTTCCTCTTCATTTGCTGCAAGTCAAAATGAGACAGTTTTGTGAGTACTTTATAAGTCAGAGCATGTGTGATGGTTAATTGTATGTGTATGCTCTGAAGGGATTTTACTTTATTTTTTATTTTTTTGAGTTGGAGTCTCACTCTTGTCGCCCAGGCTGGAGTGCAGTGGCACGCTCATGGCCACCACAGCCTCCACCTGCTGGACTTAGGTGATCCTTCTGTCTCAGTCTTCCAAGTAGCTGGAACTACAGACACACCAAGTCCGGCTAGTTTTTGTGTTTTATTGTAGAGACGAGGTCTTACCATGTTGTCCAGGCTGGTCTCAAGCCCATGGGCTCAGGCATTCCTCTCACCTCAGCCTCCCAAAGTACTGGGATTACAGGCTGAACTGGCTGTGTGAAGGTATTTTAAAGATGTGATTAACATTTTTTTTTTTTGAGTTGGAGTCTCACTCTGTCGCCCAGACTGGAGTGCAGTGGCATGCTCCCGACCACCACAGCTGCGACCTGCTGGGCTCTGTGATCCTTCTGCCTCAGCCTTCCAAGTACCTGGAACTACAGGCGTGCACCACCATGCCTGGTTAATTTTTGATTTATTGTAGAGATGAGGTCTTACCAAGTTGCCTGGGTGGGTCTCGAACCTGTAGGCTCAGGCAATCCACTCACCTTGGCTTCCCAAAGCGCTGGGATTACAGGCTGAGCTACCGAGCCCGGCCGTGATTAACATTTTTTAAAAAATGTAATGAATCAGGGTCTTACTTGCCACCCAGGCTGGAATGCAGTGGCATAATCATGGCTCACTGCAGCTTTGACCTTCTGGGCTTAGGCGATCCTCCCATCTCAGCCTTTTGAGTAGCTGAAACTACAGTCATGCACACCACATCCAGCTAATTCTTTTATTTTTGTCTTTATATTTTGTAGAGAAGTATTGTCCAGGCTCGTCTTGAATTACTGGTTTCAAGCAATCCTCCTGGCTCGGCCTTTCAAAATCCTGGGATTACAAGCGTGAGTTGCTGCACCCAGCTGTGATTAACACTCAAGTCAGGAGATTTTGAGTAGGCCGATGACCCTCCATCATGTAAGTGGAGGGCCAAATCTCATCTGTCAAAGGACTTAAGATAAAAAAGACTGACGGCTCCCGAGGAAGAGCGAGTTCTGCCAGCTGATTGCCTTTGGATTCAAGCTGCAGCGCTGTGTGTCTCCCGGGTCTCCAGCCTGCTGCCCACACTGAGTGTTTTGGACTTGCCAGCCTCCACGGTCATGTGCGCCCGCTCCTTAATGGAAATCTCAGTCTGTCTGTGTGTGTGCGTGTCCACATATGCATAGGTATGACGATGTACATAAATATATAGTGTCTTTAATTTTTGATATTTATTTTTTTATTTAGAGTTGGAGTCTCCCTCTGTCGCCCAGGCTGGAGGGCAGTGGCATGCTCATGGCCACCACAGCCTCCACCTGCTGGGCTCCGGTGATCCTTCCGCCTCAGCCTTCCAAGCAGCTGGAACTACAGGTGCGTATCACCACACCTGGCTATACATTTTTAATTTTTATGGATACCATAATAGCTGTACATATATATGGATTTTGTGGATTTTTTTCCTTGCTCTGTTGTTCAGGCTGGAGTGCAGTGTAATTCCTGGATTCAAGTAATCCTCCTGCTCAGCCTTCCGAGTACCTGAGACTACTGGTGCCTCCACACCCGGCTAATTTTGTTGTTTTTTTTTTTTTACTTTTGATTTTTTTATTTTACAGATGTGGCGTATAATTCAGAGTTAGGTATACAAATGTTCATTATGCAGGTACACTTGTTGATGAGGTGTGCCTCTCCTTCCCTGGCAGATTCCCACTACTACCAATCCTGCCTCCTCTTCCTCAGGCCCCCGGCAGTTTCCTGCTACTACCAATCCTTTTCTTTTAGTGTTATGATAATTGTTCAAGGTCTGCTTATGAATGAGAACATATGGTATTCAGTTCTTTGTTTCTGTGATAGATCGCCCAGTATTATAGACTCTAAGTCCATCTGGGTTTCTGTGAAGTTCATGATTTTGTCCTTTATGGCTGTGTATCATCATGTATATGTACCAAATTTTTTTTTTTTTTTTTTTGGGTTGGAGTCTCACTCCATTGCCCAGACTGAAGTGTAGTGGCACGCTCCCGGCCACTGCAGCCTCGACTCGCTAGGCTCCGGGCGATCCTTCTGCCTCAGCCTTCCAAGTAGCTGGAACTACAGGCGTGCGCTACCATGCCCGGCTAATTTTTTGATTTATTTTAGAGATGTGGTCTTGCCAAGTTGCCCAGGCGGTTCTCGAACCCGCAGGCTCAGGCAATTCACTCACCTCGGCCTCCCAAAGCTCTGGGATTACAGGCTGAGCTACCGAGCCCGGCCCACGGTTTTTTTATCCATTCCTCTTTTGATGGGCAGTTGGTTTTATGTTCTTGCTATTGTGAACAATGCTGCAATAAACATACATGTGCAGGTATCTTTTTCATAGAGTGATTTGAGAGATGGGAATCTCACTATGTTGCCGAGGCTCCTATATACAGTTTTAATATTGCTAAGATGTATTGTTATTTGTTCTAACCTGATATGAGAATTTTGGTTTAGAGAGCACCATGTAATTCACATTTTCACAAACAACAGCTTGGTTCCTCTTCTTGCTTAACTTGAAATAAGGCCTTACTTCTCAGTGTGGCTGCGAGTGAGTTTCTACAAAGTCTACTGGACAAGACTAGTGTGACCATTTTTTTCCTTTAGCTGTTGAGAGTATGCAAGCTTCCTTCTCCCCTTCTGCCCTCAACATGTGCTTGTTGATCAGGTAAACTGGTATGGCTTGGCAGGTATACGACTTTGCCAAGCATAAGTAGTGTGCTGAGTGGTGCTTCCCACAAAAGAAACGTCTACATCCTAATCCACAGAACCTGTGACTATGACCTTGTTTGGGAAAAGGTCTTTGCAGATGTAATTAAGATAAGGATGTTAAGGTGAGATCATCTTAGACTTAGAATGGGCCCCAGATCCAATGGCAAGTGTCCTTGTTAGAGACAGTTGGGGGAGAGAAGAGAATGAGATTGTGTAAGATGGAGGTGGCCATTCGTTGTGGCTCACACCTGTAATTCCATCAACTTGGGAGACTGAGGTAGGAGGATTGCCTGAGGCCAGGAATTTGAGACCAGCCTGGGCAATACAGTGAGACCATGTCTCTATTTATTTATTTATTTATTTATTGAGTCAGAGTCTCACTTCATCTCCCAGGCTGGAGGACAGTGGTATACTCAGAGCCACCCCAGTTGACCTGCTGGGCTCTGGCGATCATTCTGCCTCAGCTTTCCAAGTAGCCAGAATTACAGTCGTGCACTACCATGCCTGGCTAATTTTTATTTTTTATTTTTTGTAGAGATGAGATCTTGCCAAGTTGCCTGGGCTAGTCTTGAACCCATGGGCTCAGGCAATCCACTCGCCTCGGCCTCCCAAAGTGCTGGGATTACAGGCTGAGCCGCTGAGCCACCA